TTACCCTCATTGTTCACTTCATGTTCTGTTAATATTATATCTGATATTAATAAATTCAATAAATCATCAATTTTTAGATCATCTAGCAGCATAAAAAATCATTCAACTATGTTTAAGTATAGAACAGTGCTACAACCCCAATTACTTCTTTAAATTAATTACAATATTTCAATTAATATTACCTTAAATATATAATAGGAATTTAAATTTCTAATTGATATTTTTACATATATATACATTTCAATAATTCACAGTATTTAATAAAAGGAGGGTAGGAGAGAGAGAGGGAAAGAACAATTAATTATCTTTATATAAATCAATATATTAAAGTCATTAATCTATAGTCAATCAAATATATGTAATGAGTAAAAGAAAAGAAAGATATAAAGATATAAACTATACTCCAAAGGGATTAAATATTACTTACTTAAGTTAATACCTATTTCCAAATAATCAATCAATCTTGTTTTCTTATTAATTAAATATATACTTTAAGTAAATAGAAAGTGAGATTATACCATTCCGATCACTTTTTTGGTGGGGAGAGCAAAACAAACACTCAGTGAAGAGAGGATTTACAATCTCCTTTTTTCTTGTGTTTCCTTAATAATCCAATTATATCCAGAAATAGGTTTGAGTCTTAATTCTCAGTTCTCAATTCGGTCTGGTGTCTCTGCCGCTTTACTCCACTCTCCCTTTCACAATGTCTGCCTCCACAAATTGCACTGTCACTCCTCTGATCACTTACAAAAGTCTCAAAGTTTCACAATTCTTCTCCGCTGTAGAATATTCTCTGCGATATATTCTGTGACTAGAAATACAAAACTTTCTTCATCAATAGTCACTCTTCTTTTCTTTCCTTTCCACCTCCTTTTTAAAAACAATTTTCCACTTTATCCAGAGCTATGGGTAAACAGCTCAGTCTTGCCGCCACTTTCCACTTTCCCCCTTCCACTCCGGCACTTCACAGACGTGTCAATTACCTTTCTGATTTATCCATTAGTTATAATCCAACACCGATTCCTTTCGACCTCTTTCCCGGACTCCAAATTCGATCTCGTCTCTCAGCTTCCTTCTCAAAGTTGTTTCGGCGCGTCTTTGGGCCAGCCTAGCTAGCTGGCTTCTTTTGCCCTGTGCTTCAGGCTCCCTTCTTCACCTCCGGGATTGCACTTCCCGTTCAGCTCCAAGAGTTCTTTCTCACTTGAGTGATCCCACCAGGATCTAACTTCACCTCGAACAGCTGCCCACGAGCAAAAACCCCGATGTAGGAGAGCAGATCAAGATTCTCCTACCTTGTCATGCTGCGACGTCACTGGAAGTCCAGAATTGCTTTGTTGTTGCTGATGATGTTTTAATCTTGTTTGGGCTGAACGGTGGAGATTTTTTCAGTTTTTTAAGAGTGTAAATTGCAACAGAGAGCATGCCACTATAGAAATAATATGCCCCAAATAACACTGTTAAAATGCAGTCCAGCTATTACATAATAGCATTTAATCTTTGGATAGTTGAAGTCCACAAATATGTTCAAGGAGAATACTTTCAGGCCACAGAATTCCCATTTATGTGAAATGACCACTGAATATCAATTATCACATGTCTTCCAATATATAATCAATCATCAGGAATCCACTGTCCCTCAATGAAATCATTTATAATAAGACATTGTGACTTTGAGAGCAACCTGAAGCTTGTGTTCCAGGAAGGATAGCTGGAATTCCTGGTAAAACCAGCAGTATATGTTTTCAAAAATTGTTTTGAATAATTCAAAATTTGCATGAAATTATTACATTACCAAATGTCAAGGCACAGGGAAATACTGCCTCTAGCAGCCCCATATCCTTTTATTCCTATTCAGAAAACATTATGAATGGTGCGTCAATTTTTCCTGCTGTATATTCTTTATATAGGAAAAGTGGATCTAATAATGCATGTTTATTCATTGTGAAAACTTTGCATTTTACAAAGCTTTACATTTCAGATCTTTTTTCTTCATCTGTTACATCTTAAGGTTTTTTCCCCTGTGGTATTACATTTTCATGAGTGTGTATTTTTATGAATGATTTATTTCTCACTGATTTTGCTTGTAATTTATCATGAACATTTCATCAAGGCTGAGATACGTTGGTAGCATAAGAATACATTGTTTGTATTTCTCCTTTCTCATAATGAAGCCTTTTCTATTTAAGATTCTGCTTTTTTTATAATTCATTCATGATTAAAAGAAACATAAAGTATCATCCAAGCAAACAAACTTTGTTAATATACATACAATGAATAAACAGTAACAGTGTCCTAACAGTATTTTCTAAATATAGTAGTGGTACTTATTTGAAATGAAAATACCATCCAATAATATATTGAAAAAAATTGCAGACAGAGATTAGGGTATTAAGTGCTTTCAATTAGTCTGGGTCTTTCTTAGAATTGTAATGTTGTCATGTCCAATATTGAAAGCCCCCACTATGACAATTTCAGACTTCACTCTTTTTTCTTGGTAATTCCAGATGCATTGTGTTCACAATATTTTATGTTGGCATTTAAGGCAGGGGAATGAACTATTGAGGATATATACCAGTGTAGTATATATCATTCTTCCCAGAATTTTAATCTCGGTCATCATCGATTTATTTCATGGCCAGCAAAACTTAATAGGAGCTCCGGTCCAATTCAGAGAGGACTTTAGAGCTGAAGTTCCTAAAAACTATTAAATTAAGAAGTTGTATATGGTTATCATGCCAGCTTACAAGGATCCATCTAATTACTGCCTACAGCGGTTTAAGAAAACAAGCTTGTTTAAAGATTTTATGTGGTACTTTTAAATATTGAGGATACATGTTCTTTACATGTATAAGCTATATTATATTAATTGCTAATTAATTAATTAATAATTAATTAATTAATACCCATAAGGTTTTAAATTCATTGAAAACTGAAGCAGGCTCTTCATTACTTTGATATCTTGATATATTTAGTACAGTGTCTTTGTTTTAATTAACTGTTGCGGCTTTGCAAGGTTATTTGGCCATCTCATTACTACAACCTTGAAATATATCAAAACAATATGCCAAACATTTATCAATTATAATTATATCTATGAAATTATTCATTTCCTAGTTTATTTTTTACTGTTGTTTTTTTCCTACAGAAATTTTCTATAGTCTTGACCATATTTTTCTTATAGAGAATTGGATTAGGTAGGTTTTAAAAATACTTCCACACTGCTTGGCAGGAAGCCAGTTACTGTCATTTTAACTAAAACCATGCATCATGCAATATAACAGCTTATTGTATACATTAAATTGGGTTATTTAAAATAGAGTAATGAAAACATTCACTTGATTTAAAGTTAATAAAAATGCTTGGGTGAAATATATTTCAAGTTCATTTGCACAGAATGAAAGCTATTAGTATGCAATTTATCCTGAGTTCTGCATAAAATTACCATTTAGGTGACATCATTACATAGCAGTAATTATTGTGATAGCACAGATCACCAAAATCTGATGAGTAAGTAGTATTTGCCTTACCTAACCCTGCCATTTATTTCTTGAAGTTCAATAGTTTTTCCTCTAAACAAAAAATAGCAGTATTTATCTTTGTATATTTAAAAAGTTCTATAAAAATTAAAATAATGATTTGAAGTAGGCAAAGGATTCTTTTGTTAGCACAATTTTAGAAAATGTATTTTTATGAATAAATCAAGGTGGCAAACATATCCAGTAATAAATGTTTAATATTTACAAAGCATTTGACTATATGACAGTAATACATACCATATTTTTCGGAGTATAAGATGCTCCGAAGTATAAGACACACAGCTTTTGGGAAGGAAAACAAGAAAAAAAATCTGCCTCTGCTTCCCAGCAATTTGCCTCCTTGTAGCAAACAGCCTGTTTCAGTTTCTGCACAGCCTGATTAGCACAAGCAGCTGGTTGTAAGTTGGATCAGCCTCCCGTGATCAGCTGTTTCAGGCTTAAAATATAGCCTATAGCTTATTGCCGCCTCCATGCACCCCATTTTCGGCCTCCGCATTCCATTTTCACCCTCTGCATGCCCCATTTTTGCCCTCTTTGTGCCCCATTTTCCACCCATTCTGGGTGGCGGGATCAGAATGGGCGGAAAATGGGATGCGTAGAGGCAAAAAATGAGGCATGTGGAGGCAGCAATAGGCAATGGCAATTCCTGCAGCCTGAAACAACTGATCATTGGGAGGACGATCCAACCGACAATCAGCTGCTTGTGCTAATCAGGCTGAAAAAAGTGACTTATGACCGTTTTTCACACTTACCCCACAGTCATGAGAGGCCAGACGAGGAGATGGTGCCTCGATGTGAGTGATATTGAGTTGACCACACCCAGCCAATATCATGACCACCAAGCCAGGTCCACCCAGTCACATGACCACCAAGCCATGCCCACCAACTAAGCCACGCCCACAGAACTGGTTGTTAAAAAAATTGAACCCCACCCCTGCATATCATGCCCTAATGTCCTTGAGATTCCCTTATGCTGCCCCCCCTCCTCAGGAAGGTCAGAACCATTTGAGCAGTCTTTCCCAATGGACCTAAAAGCTGGGCAATATCCCTGGGGCTCTGTTGCATGGTCCTGTTGAAGTTCTGGCCATAGCTTGGAATCAAAAGATGTGACATGCCCCTGTCGGAGTCTGAATCCGAGTAGGAAGATGAGCAGCTGACAGGGAGTAAGAGTGTGGCTCCGTTGGCTGTGGAGGAAACTGGGGAAGGGCAAAGTCTGGCTGGGCAGAGTAGGGAAGAGGTAGAACAAGGGAGAGGGAGTTCAGAGGAAGACCCAAGCCCACCCCCTCTTCATCCTAGGGCATGTAGGGAGTAACGGAGAAGAAAGCAACGTGGGTTGTGTGGCTTACAGGGAAGGAAAGGGCCCTGATTCCCTTCATTAGCCATACCTGGGAATGAGAGATTAAAAGAGATGCAAGCTGAGTGTGGCATCTGCTGGGAAGAAACATGAGTTTATCTTGTGTTAACTTTGGTTATCTGCGTTCCTGGCATCCTCCCAACCATGTTGAATTACTGCCATTCCTTCACATCTGGAATTCTTTCTCTTGCCCTGTCGGACTATTACCTCATTTTACCTTGATTGGACTTACAACGTTTTGGATTTGATTCTCTTCAGCCAAAGGCTGTTCCTGAGAGAGTTTTTCTCCAGCCCAGAAGGTAAAGTTGGAGCTAATAAAAGGACTCCTACTGATTATCTGACTGTGCCTTTGTGCCATGCCCCAGGTCATCACAAGATGGCTAATTTCAGACAAGATTGTACCTAAGCAGGCTTTTTTTTCCCCATCGTGTTTGGTGCTCCGTATAGTGTTGAAAAGGGCCAAAATATGCCTAGAGTGCTGCTGGAGGAAAACAAGGGACAAAACTGGAAATTGAACTGAAATGACTCAGAGCTGCTATTAAAGCCTATTTAATGGCAGTAAGAGCAGTTAAACAATTATCCACTCCTATTCTCCTATTGCTTAGTTTGGTGAAAGACACACCAGGCAGCAGCATGTGCGGTTAAGACCGCCACTGCGGCATCTTTCTTTACCAGGGCATCTTTAATCTGGCTATATCAGATGCAGGGGCAGATACCTACCAGCAACATTAGAACACAACAGGATTTTAACAAGGTGATTGCAGCGGCTGAGTATATGGTAGATGTAACACTGAACTCTGTGAAGTTTGCAGCCCATGCATTGTCATCAGCAGTAGTAGCTCGCCGTTTGCTGTGGCTCAGATATTGGCAGGCAGACACCAAACGAAAGTGGAAGTTGTCATCAGCACTGTATAAAGGTGGCAAACTTTTTGGTGCCCCGTTAGATCCCATTCTGGTCAAGTCCAGGGACAAATTCAAGATCCTGCTGTTGGTTTCAAGGAAGGGAGGAACCAGGTTCTCACCCTTTGTTCGTCATTCCTTTTGTGCCCCATACTACAGGACAACTACCCAGTGGAATCAAGGAAGTTTTGGTCAGCGACAAGATGCCCAGACTTCACAAGGTGCCATTACAAGACAAGATCTCAACCACAGGGCAAATGGCCATTTCGAGGGCCTACCAACAGGCCCTTTCGCAAATACAAATGAACCTCACTCCACGGCTCCCGTTGGTGGCAGACTCTGTTTTTTTGCAGACCAATGGGAGCAAACGACCTTTGATGCCTGGGTTAGACAGACAGTGAGGTTGGGACTTGCCCTAGAATTCCGATTCAGTCCCCCGAGTTTTTTATCCGCTGCCCTTTGTCGACAAACACCTCCAGACGAAAACTGATGGAGGAGGCGATTCAACACGTCCTGAAAATTCAAGCCGTGGAAGTGATTCCTGAGGTGCAGCAGGGGCACGGCTTCTATTCGATGCTGTTTGTGGTTCCAAAAGCTTCGGAGGGCTGGAGAGCTATTCTGAATCTCAAAAAACTAAACTCTTTCATTATTTATCGCAGATTCAAAATGCACATGCTTCAATCCATTTTGGAGAGCGTGAGAAATGGGGACTATTTAACTTCAATAGACCTCATCGAGGCGTACTTGCATATTCCCATCCTACCTGACCATCGTCAGTACCTGAGGTTTTGCTACGTGGGCAGGCACCTTCAATATAGAGCTCTCCCGTTTGCCTTGGCATCGGTTCCCAGGACCTTTGCCAAGATCCTGATTGCCTTGACAGCTCACTTCAAAACTATCCCAATACGGATATAGGCCTACTTGGATGATATCCTTATTCAGTCAGTCTCCCAAGATCAGGCAGTTCATGACTTGAAGACCACATTGCAGGCTTTAGACTTATGGGTTCCTACTCAATCGGGAAAAAAGCCATTTTTATCCCACAACACGTTTATTACAAAGCCCCAAATAGTTAAAATATTATTTATACAGAATTGAAAATTATGTCTGATTTTATCCATCAGATTGATATTTTAAAGAATTTATATAAACACAGATTAGAAATCAGGAGAATAATTCTTAATTTGATAATACATTTACCTATTTTCTCTTCTATAGAAACTCATTCAAAAACAGATATATATGCTTGTAATATAGGTGCTCCAATTCCTTATACTTAGAAAAATATGTTAAGTTAAAAGAGGAAAGTCACTTTATTATAAGCTAATTCTTTTTCCAGAAAGCAAGATCATTTGCATTGAAAAGATATTGCTTCAGTTGCCCTCACACACAAAGCTCATTAAATTTTTTTTAAACAAAGTTTTTATTTTTTACAACAAACATGCAAACAAAACATAAAAACATAAAACCCTCTTTCAATTATATACATACAGTGTGTCAGTTGGTTACAATCTTTTGTGCTATCCTTTTTTTACCACTACTCACAAATTATATACCGTATTTATCGGCGTATAACACGCACTTTTTCCCCCCTGAAAATAGGGGGCAAATGATGTATGCGTGTTATACGCCGATATAATGTTAAGAAGCCTTCGGTGAATGCTGCTGGGATCGGGGATCAAGGACACAAATGAAAGAAGGGGAGGGAGGAAGCAACCGAAGCCTGTCCTTCTCTCTGGGTCAGCTCTCTCAGTCGCTCTCTCGCTCCTCCACCAGCACAGGAAGAAACTGCTTCAAAGAAGCGGGGGGGGGGGGCTTTTCCTGTCAGCGCAGCTTCCCTGAAGCGCCCGTTTCTCCCCCACCCCCATCCCGTCCGCCCGCCCGCCCGCCCGCCCTCCCGCCCGCAGTGCTCCGTTCTGCCTGCCTGCCTGCCTTCGTTAATGGTTGAATCGGAACAGCTTCGGCTGAGTAAAAGAGGCGAATAGTTATTATTCTCAGCCGAAGCTGCTCCCAAACAACCAGAAACTAAGGCAGGCAGGCAGAATTTTTTTTAATTTTTTTTCCTGAAATTTCCCTCTTAAAATGAAGATGCGTGTTATACGCCTGTGCGTGTTATACGCCGATAAATACGGTAAATTCTCACCTTATCAATCTAGTTTGTGCTTATGTAATATCAATTATTAAACATACATTTGACTAAACTATTTTTCCATCATTTTATACGAGATATTCTAATTTTCATTATGATTTAATCTTATACATTCATCCAATGGTTATATATTTTATATTGTATTCTATATCAATCTATTAACTTTTATTGTAAGGCTTACTAATCTATTTCTTTACCATGTCTTTTAATCTAACCATTGATAAAATAAATCCCATATCATATAAAATTGTTTATCCTCTTGTTCTCTAATTTCAAATGTCAATTTACTCATTTCGGCACAGTCCATGATTTTCTTAATAATTTCCTCCTGCATAGGTATTTTTTCATTTTTCCAATTCTTAGTGAATACAATTATAGCCGCTTCTTAAAACATTTACAAACAAATATTTCTTTACAATATATTTCCAGTATAATTCCCAATAAAAATATCTCAGGTTTAAAGTCTATGTGTTGTTTTGTCATTTTTTCCAACCATGTGTGGATTATAGTCCAATATCTTTTTGCATCTGAGCATGTCTACCATATATGGTAATATGAACCAGGTATCTGATGACATTTCCAACATTTATCCGATTTATTCTTGAACATCCTTGCAATTCTTGTAGGGGGTAAGTGCCACCTGTGAAACATCCTATACAAATTTTCTTTATATGCAGTTGACATTGTCATTTTATAATTTTGAGACCACAATTTTTGCCATTTATCTAAGTCAATCCCATATCCAAAAATTTTCCCCCAGGCAATCATTGTTTCTTTTACTTGTTCTTCCTCTAATTTAAACTCTAGTAAATGTCCATAAAGTTTTTTGGTTACTTTTTCATCAGTACCTGTCAAAATTTTATCTAAATCAGTCAACTTATCATAGATACCTTCTGTTTTAACATCTTTATCAAAGCTAGATTGTATTTGCAAATATGAAAACCAATTCATTTTTACATCTTGTTCTTCCAACGCTTGCATAGATTTAAGTTCACCCTTTTCATTCAATATCTCCATATCCATATCTAACTGTTTGTTCCTTTTTTCAATTATTGGATAGGAAAAAGCTTCAATAGTAGATAACCATAGTGGAATTTTTTAATAATATTGCTTTTTTATGTTCTCCCAGTTTAGAAACAATGCTTCTCGAATATAATGTCTTCTAAAATACCCCTGTGTTTTAGTTCCCTTATAACAGAGGAAGGCATGCCACCCTAACAGCAAGTCATGTCCTTCTAAATTCAAAAGTCTAGTATTCCTTAGTGTTATCCACTCCTTTACCCACATCAGACTCGTCGCTTGGTAGTATAATTCCCAATTGGGCAAAGAAAATCCTCCTCTTATTCTTGCATCTTGTAGCAATTTAAGTTTTATTCTCACTTTCTTCCCCTGCCAAATGTATTTTAGCACTATTTTGTTTAAATCTTCAAAAAATTCTTTCCCTAATCTGATTGGAATTGTCTGAAATAAGTATAAGATTCTAGGCATTACATTCATATTAATTGTAGATATTCTCCCAATCAGTGATAATTGTAAATTTTCCCATTTTATCAAGTCTGTTGCAAGCTGTTGTTTAACTTTAAGATATTTATCCTCCTTAAGTGTGCTACATCTTGGTGTTATGTGTATCCCTAAATATTTAACCTTATTTGTGACCTGGATCCCCAAAACTTCCTCCAATTCTTTCTTTCGTCTTACTAACATATTCTTTGCTAAAATCTTTGTTTTATCTTTATTTTCAAACCTGCTACTTTCCCGTACTCTTCTATCTTTTCTGTCAGTTTAGGTCCTGATTCCAATGGATCCTCTAATATAAATACTAGGTCATCTGCAAAAGCTTGTAATTTATACTCTTCTTTTTAATTTTCATTCCTTTTATTTCTTTTTCTTCTCTGATGTTCCTATTCAGCACTTCCAGTGTTAACACAAACAACAGAGGTGACAGTGGACAGCCTTGTCTAGTCCCTTTTCTTATATCTATAAGCTCTGTTAACTCTCCATTTATCATAACCTTTGCAGTTTGTTTATGATATATCGTTTCTATGGCTTGAGTAAATTTTTTACCAAAGCCTATTTGGTCCAATTGTAACAGCATAAAAAGCCAATTCACATTATCAAAAGCTTTTTGTGCATCTAAAAACATCAGAGTCATTTGTTTTTTGGGATGTGCCTCATAGTATTCCAGT